GAGCCGCTCTGAGACACGGATATGACCGCGTGTGAAAGAGCCGCAAGAGCATAGCAGAGCTGCACACGGCAGCGTGTGTGTATTGTAAAACCTGTTTCACACCGCACCGCACATCGGCGTGAATGTTAACGAAAGACGCCTGATACACCGCACGCTGCAGCAGAGCAGCAGTGCGCATTTTTTTCCCGGTATGCATGTTAACGAATGAGTGCTTTTACACCGGACGCTGCAGCAGCTCGGCAGCAGTTTTGGCGTCGAGTCTATTTTTTGCTGTGCTGCTCAGCAGCTTGAGCTTAAAGCGCCAGTACAAGGTTGAAGGACAATTTGACAAAAAAATTGAGTTGACACAAAAAAAGTATATATTGCACAGAATAAGCATATACTCGTAAAATCCTTTAGGAGATCTCAATTGCAGTCAGTTTCGTTCCTTTGCGAGATCTCAATGAGCGCATTTACATGCACGTTCTTAAGCCGATTATGCTTAATAAGCCGAAAACTATGGAAAGCCATATGGGTCATAATTCGCGTGCTTTTCACCGCCGTATCAATATTAAAACGCCGTTTTCATAACGCCGCCAGGCGTTAAATAAGCGCCGTTAGGCGATAAGTTAACGGCAGACGCCACCACGCGTTAAAATAACGCCACACGCCGACCGACGTTAAGTTAACGCCACACGCCACTTAAGATGCAGATTTATTTGCTCATCTACATGGACACACCTCTCATGGCTACAAGGACTCTACGGCAAGTCGGAGCATCCAGTTTGCAAGAGCGCGAAGATGGCAAGTACAGCCCTTACAATTCTAGATGTAGGGGGAAAAATGCCCCTGAATGAGCTTTTGTCTCATAAAGTTATCACACGAGTCATGAATGAGTGCAAATTTGTAAATTATTTTATACAACAGTTAAATAAATAAGAAATTTTATGGTAAGTCTTGCAATATATTGCAAAATATATTTATAATCAGTCGTGAAAATGGACAAAATTCACTGGGGGACCCTAGCTTGGAATCGGGTGGGGGGGAATAATGGTAATAAAAGGTAAAATAATAAATAAATATATATTATATTTATATAGAATATATATATAAAAAATAAAATGTAATGAAATTTTGGATGTATTTAATTATAAATCTCTTTGTAATATATAATAACATTAAATTTATTTAATATTTTCTCTATCATAACCCTTCTTGGATATTAAGACACCTGCAATTTTGGCCAAATTATAGATATTTTGTGTGTGAATTTGCACATGCTATAATGTAAGCATCATTAATGACCCCTTGTGTTTAATAAAATAAAAAGATTGATTAGTGAAATAAA